TTTTCTTTTCTGTCTGGATTCGACTGGATTGGACTGGATGCCTTTCTCTCAAGAGAGGCTATGTATTTATAGTAGAAGATCATAGTGGAAAACTTTTCCAACTACCAATGTGAGATTTTTTACATGTCCCTTTTTTTCTTTTCATTCACAAGAATTTTCCTTTTTACAAAGATTTTCCTTTTTACAAAGGTTTTCCTTTTTACAAAGGTTTTCCTTTTTACAAGGTTTTCCTTTTTACAAGGTTATCCTTTTTTAAAAGGTTATTTCCTTTATTACAAGGCTTTTCTACTGGGCAATAAGGCCTCATTTCAATTCACACATAAACAATTTTACAAGCCCGCAAGCTTTATAAAAAATAGTTCCAACAATCCCCCACATGAATAGAAATGACTCTAAACATATGCAGACTCGATAAACTTATGCAGGCTAGACTCAAACTAGACTAGACTCAAACTAGACTACAGACTCGACTAACAGACTTTTCGAGAGTAAACGAAAACTAACTGTATCTGAGGTAGTAGCATATTTCAGCCTTGAACCACTCACTGTTAATATCTGTCAGATTTACTCTCCAGGAAGTGAACATGATGTCTTGAACCGCCCGGATTTTGGTGTAAACCAAATCAACAGATACAACCCAGCTTCGTCTTCTCGTAGCTTTCAGTTCTCTATTGTGTTCATTGTGGCATTGAACGTGCCTGGTTTATCATGAGTGAACTTGGAGAGTATAGCCTTGTCTTCGTTCTCCTAGAAACGGCCTCATTTCACACTCACTAGGTGATTGTCAAGTATCTGTCATATAAACAGAAAATATCCCGTTATACTTTATATACATGTATATGAAGGCTATGGTCTTATCTCATTAAAAGCCATAAAGCTTAACCTTACATAATTATAGGAAGCACTGTTTATCATCATGGAAATTGAGCATTATACAGTGCTTTTCTCAGATTCTGCTTGATTTAATTGTCCCTTTGAACCAACCTCTTGGGATCTCCAACTGCGTAGGTAGGGTTTCCATCAAACATCCTCTTTTGTGATAGGCAATAAGCCCATTCCCTTAGATGATTTAATGATTTGATCTCGCGGCAAGCTTTTGGTGAACGGATCCGCTAAATTTTCCGCTGACCTGATGTAATCAACTGTGAGTACACCACTCGAGATCAGATGCCTAATGGTCTTATGTCGTCTTCGTATGTGACGAGACTTGCCATTGTACAGATTATTCAGTGCCCGAGAAATAGCCGACTGACTATCACAGTGTACACGTAATGCTGGCACTGGTTTTTCCCACATCGGGATGTCTTCCAGGAAGTCCGAAGCCACTCTGCTTCTTCGGCCGCTTTGTCTAAAGCTATGAACTCTGACTCCATGGTTGATCGGGCCAGGAGTGTCTGTTTGGAATATTTCCAGGATACTGCTGTTCCAGCGAGTGTAAAGACATATCCACTTGTGGATTTGGAATTTCTAGAATCTGAAATCCAATTGGCATCACTGTACCCTTCTAACACTGCTGGTTCTTTACCAAAGTGCAGCCCATAACTCTTAGTGTATTGCAAATAGTTCAACACTCTAGTTATTGCTTTCCAATTAGTATGACCTGGATTACTTGTGTAGCGACTTAACACGTTTACCGCATGCGCTAGATCGGGTCTTGTACAATTGGTCAAGTACATCAGACTTCCAATTACCCGTGCATACTCCACCTGTGATACTGGTTCACCTGTGTTTTTGGTTAGGTGAGCTTGCATATCCATCAGAGTTTTTGCGGTTCCATTCGAGTAGGTCTTAAACCTCTCTAGGATCTTTTCAGCATAATGATCTTGAGATAGAGTAATTCCATCTGAAGTCCGAATGATCTTAATCCCAAGAATGACATCTGCAAGTCTCATGTTCTTCATGTCAAATTTTCCATTAAGCATGTTCTTGGTTTGTTGAATGATATCTTTGTTACTGCCAATAATCAACATGTCATCCACATACAAACATAATAAGATGTATCCGTTTGGAGTACATTTGGAGTACATTTGTAGTAGATGCATTTATCACATTCCTTAATGCTGAAACCATTTGACATCATCACATTGTCAAATTTTTCGTGCCATTGTTTTGGAGCTTGTTTCAGTCCATACAATGATTTCACGTGTCTACACAGTTTGTGCTCTTGACCCTTAACCTCGAAACCTTCGGGTTGTTTCATGTATATCTCTTCTTCTAAATCTCCATTTAGAAAGCCAGTTTTAACATCCATCTGATGGATTTCCAAGCCTCGCAAAGCTGCTACACCAATCAATATTCTTATCGAAGTTATTCTCGTAACTGGAGAATAGGTGTCAAAGAAATCTAGACCTTCTTTTTGTCTGAATCCTTGCACCACAAGACGTGCCTTGTACTTATCTATAGAACCATCAGCTTTCAGCTTGGTCTTGAAGATCCATTTACACCCTAGTGCTTTGAACCCTTGAGGTAAGTCAGCTAACTCGTAGGTATGATTCTGCATTATTGAATTCATCTCACTATTGACTGCATCCTTCCAATAAGGAGCTTCTGGTGTAGACATGGCTTCTGGGTAAGATCTCGGTTCATTCTCAACAAGAAAGACCATTGTGAAATCTTCACCATAAGATTTTTTCTTACGAGCTCTTTTGCTGCGTCTAGGTTCATCTTCAACTTGTTCTACTTCCATCTCATTTACAGAAGTAGTTGCATCTCTTTCTTCACGAGTGCGTTTAGTAGTTTGCTTATCTTTATATGGAAATATGTGTTCAAAGAATGATGCATTCCTTGATTCCATGATAATATTCACTTGGACGTCTGATACATCTGACTTATGTACCAGGAATTGATAAGCACTACTATTGTGAGCATATCCGATAAAGATACAGTCCACAGTTTTAGGTCCGATTGTGACCTTCTTTGGAAGTGGCACTGCGACTTTTGCTAGGCACCCCCACACGTTGAGGTATTTGTACGAAGGTACATTACCTTTCCAAAGCTCATACGGAGTTTTGCCAGTTACCTTATGAGGTATTTTGTTGAGGATATAATTTGTGGTGAGCAACGCTTCCCCCCACAGATTCTGGGGTGTCCCAGATTCCTGCAACATTGCATTCATCATCTCCTTTAGATTTCGGTTTTTTCTTTCCGCAACTCCATTGGATTTAGGTGAATAGGGGGCTTTAGTTTGATGGATAATGTCGTTTAACTGACAAAACGCATTGAATGGTCCATCATATTCTCCACCTCTATCACTTCTAACCATTTTTATGGTCTTTCCCAGTTGTTTTTCAACTTCGAGTTTGTACTCTTTGAATTTTTCCAAGACTTCATCTTTACTACGCAGCAAGTATACGTAGCAGTATCTTGTACAATCATCAATGAAAGTTACAAAATACTTTTTACCACCTCTTGATGGTAGATATTTTAAATCCAGTCCAATCCAGTCGAATCCAGACAGAAAAGAAAACCACACAGAAAAACAATAGTTTCTAGCAAATCTCTCTTGTCTTAATATAGTAAGTGTCTCGAGAGTTATAGCGTAGTTATTTCAGTTTGCAGATTCTATTATGGGTGTTGCATAATAGTCTTATCACAAGTGTAAAAATATCTCAGAAGGTAACTCGTAAAGTAAATTAATGAAATTATAAACGATATCATAAGGAAAGCGAGTTACCTTCTATAGTTATTTTTACTTTGACAGAGATATGTTCAGTACCTATCAAAAGTGTAAGACTGATGATCAACTGAAGATGAGAAACATTTCTCAATCTAAGATTGAAGGTACTGGAAAAGTTTTGTTGAAGATGACTTCAGGCATGGAGGTTACTCCTCAACAATGTAAAGCA